GGAGTGGAGGACTTAAAACCCCAAATCGGATGAAACATATGTATGGGAGCTATAGCTATATCTGAACCGATTTTCACCAAATTTGAGGTACTTGCTTCTAGACTTAATACAGTCGGATATGCCGAAATTCAGGTCATTTGAACTGATATTGGTCATTTGGTGGACAATCAACCTGGAGTCGGATGAAACATATATATGGCAGCTATGGCTATATCTGAACCGATTTTCACAAAATTTAAGGTACTCGCTTCTAGATTGAATTCGGTCGGATATGACAAAATTCAAGTCATTTGGACTGATATTGGCCATTTGGTGGACAATTAACCTGAAATCGGATGAAATATTTATATGGGAGCTATATCCAAATCTGAGCCGATCTCGATAATATTTATCAAAGGTATTTCCGGGGCCTATACGATGCCTAGTACCAAATATCATTCTTGTAGAGTGCATATTACGAATGTGAGGGACTTAAAGACCAAATCTGAGGAAACATATATATGGGAGCTATAGCTATATCTGAACCGATTTTCACCAACATTGATGTACCCGCTTCTAGACTGAATTCGGTCGGATATGCCAAAATCCAGGTCATTTGGGCTGACATGGGCCATTTGGTGGACAATTAACCTGGAGTCGGATGAAATATATATGTGGCAGCTATGGCTATATCTGAACCGATTTTCAACAAATTTGAATAACTCGCTTCTTGACCGGATTCGGTTGGTTGTGCCAAAAATGCAGGTCATTTGGACCGATATTGGCCATTTGGTGCACAATTAACCCGAAATCGGTTGAGGATCTATATGGGAGCTATATGCAAATCTGAACCTATCTTGACAGAATTTGACAAATATATATCTGGACTGTATCTGCAATCTGGTACCAAATATCATTGTTGTCGAGTACATATTACGAATGTCGAATGAAACAAACAGGGTGAGATGAAAAAATTGCAACCAACTTCAGACTGCTGTCATTTCCAAGCCACTCGTCCGACAGCTTTTAAAATTTTTCCAGTGACAGCTCGTTATATTGTTTACAAGCGTATAAAAGCATTTTGGTGAGAATTTTTCCGAAAAAAAAAGTTATTCGTAATGGAATTCTAGCCTGATACTGTGATTTCTTTATATTTGGCTGGAAAACCACAAGTGGCTATCGTTAGAGTACTCCAGCATTTAAATGTGAAAAAAACTCTTATGTCTCGTACCATCGCTCGTTACCGTGATACTGGTAGCGTAGCCTGACCTCCAGGAAGGGGACGGAAGAAAACAGCAGATATGGTTAGAAAAGTAAAGAAGCGACTCGATCAAAACCCGGACGCAGTGGCCACAAAAATGGCTCGTGAGCTGAACATATCGCAATATTCCATTCGGCAAATATTGAAAAATGAACTCGGGGTGAAAGCCATTGAAATTCCAAAAAGTGCCAGAACTTACACCGCAACCGAAAAGAAAGAAAATAGATTCAAAAGAGCTAAAGAGTTACTTCGCTTTGCCGAAAGTGGTGAACTGCCGAATTTGGTTTTCTCTGATGAGAAAACATTCGCTGTCCAGCATTTTGGGAACAAACAAAATGATCGCGTTTTTCTTGCCAAAGAGGTCAGCTGAAAATGTGCAACTTCGGTTGGCCACCAGAACTCAAGCGCCAGCCATGCTGATGGTGTGGGCCACTAAACAGCCAATGGTTGCTCTCCGCTCGTATTAATCGACCATGGCATCAGAATAAATACCGAATATTATCGCAAAAATATTCTGGAGGATTTATTAAAGCATTGGGCACACAAACATTTTGGCCGCAGACCTTAAACATTCCAAGAGGACTCAGCACCATTGCACTCAGCACGCGCCACCCAAGAATTGCTACAAAATTATGTTTCTCGCCTCATTTCCAGCGCACAATGGCCACCAAAATCTCCGGATACCAATCCGTTGGACTATTGTGTCTGGAGTATTTTGGATAGCAAGGTTGGCACAAAAAAATACCAAAGAGTCGATCACCTCAAGCAAGCACTTCGCCGGGAATGGGCCAAAATACCACAGATTAATATTAGGGCAGCGGTTTTATTGGCCGTTTGAAGTCCATAATTTGTGCCAAAGGTGACCAATTCGAACAAATCGAAACTGATTCTAAAATTTGATGCTATTTCCGACATTTTTTGCTTTCAATAAAATTAAAAAAAAAGTGGTAAAAATTATGGCGTTCGACTTTGCTGCAGTTTTTTATCTCATCCTGTACATGGGAGCTTTATCTAAATTTGAACCAATTCTCACCAATTTGAATAGGATTCATCCTTAGGCCAATTACAAATATTGTTTGGAAAATTTCACCTCAATCGGATCCCAAATTATGGTTGGGTCTTGAGAATATAGTTTAAAAATAAAGCACTATAATTGATGGATGGGTATTGAAAATATTGACAGGCCTTAAAAATATTTCTATAAAATCCTGTAATCCTTTAATTTTTTTAATTCAAATTTAAGAATAGATTTGTCCTCGCCTTTCTCTTTTCCAAGAAAAATTAAAAAAAAAAGTTGCCAGGCAAATATATTGAGGCCATATTATTTCTCTCAATCTCTCTTTCTATTTCTCTCACTTTATGGGTAGTGACAATATTGAAAGACCTTAAAGATATTTTTTAAAAATCCTGAAATCCTATATTTTTTCTTAATCCACATTTAAAAATAGATTTGTCTTCGTCTCTTCTACTTTCCATAAAATATTCAAAACAAATGCCAAGGAAATATATTCTCTCTCCCTCTTTTTCTCTTTCTCTCACTTTATGGTTATTGAAAATAATAAGAGGGCTTGAAAATATTTTTAAAAAATCCTGAAATCCTTTATATTTTTTAATCCTCATTTAAAAATCGATTTGTCTTTGTCTATTCTTTTTTCCATAAAATATTCCAAAAAATAAATAAATAAATAAATAAATTGCCAAGCAAATATATTGACTACATATTCCTTCTCTCTCCCTCTTTCTCTCACTTTATGGTTATTAAAAAATATTAAGACCCCTTCAAAATAATTTAAAAAAAATTCTGTGATCCTTTCATATTTTTAATCCACATTTAAAAATAGATTTGTCTTCGCCTCTGACTCTTTTCGATAAAATATTTACAAAAAGTTGTCAAGCAAATATATTGAGTCTATATTCCTTCTCTCTCTCTCCTTCTCTTCTCACTTTATGGTTATTGAAAATATGAAGAGGCCTTGAAAATATTTTTAAAAAATTCTGAAATCCTTTATATTTTTTAATCTCCTTTTAAAAATAGATTTGTTCTCGCCTCTGCCTCTTTTCGATAAAATATTCACAAAAAGTTGCCATGTCAATATTTTGAGACCATATACCTTCTCTCTCTCTCTCTCCCTCTCTCTCTATCTTTCTCTCACTGTAACCATGACTTCCAATAATTCCTCCTGACTCCTCCCTCTCCCTCCCCGCTGATTTCATTTATGCAAATAACATTTAGCGTTTGTAATTATACTTTTATTTTATAATATTTAATTTTTAAATATTCATCAAATTACTTTGCTTAGTTAAATTTACAATGCACACACACACATCCATACAAACATATACACTGCCAGTCATCAGAAATACATCAAACAAATTTGGGGTTTTTCACGACTTTTTTTTTGCTGCTGTCATCATCAATAATTAATTAACTAAAATGCCAAATTAAATATTATTCAATCGTTTTTTTTTTTTTTTTTTTTTGTGGAAAATTCGGAAAAACTTCGTGGCAAAAAACATGAGGATAAATGGCTTAAATTGTAAAATTGATGGAAAATTTTCTAATGAATTTTTCTGGGCCATCGATTTGTTGAATTTATCACGTACGTGAGCTTAGGAGGGCCTTATGTGGTTAAATTGAAAAACCAAAAAAAAAAAAAAAAAACAACAACAAAAATGGGTAGACGAATTAAGTTATTAATTCAGTAATTTTCCACAAAAATAATAAATGAAATATATGCATGGTGTTGGGAAACCTCTCCAACAACCAAGAAAATTGTGAGAGCCTAACTCCCCTGGGGACAGGGCAGTGCACATATTTACATCCTTAAAATAACTATCAAAAATCGGAATATAAAGTCACAAACTTCAGCTTCCCCTTCTCTTCCCTTGTGAAGAGTAAGAACTAATGCCCTTAATCTCAATATTTTGTTGGACCACTACTGAGATATTTTCCAACTTGTGTACAAATTTTCGTAACCCTAGTGTATCCTGGTCCAAAACGACAGACTCTTAATTTTGGTGGCTTTAAATTTAACAATGACTCAGAGAGGTGCGTTGGAAAATAGAGAGACAATTTTGAAAGAGAAAAGGTACACCCCTGGAATTTTATAAATATTATTTTAGGATACTCCTCCAATAACCCACAAATTTTGGGAAATCCCGGGGCTTCTTAAGGAAAAAGAAAAGGAAACTTATCTGAAGTTAAAGAAGGCAGCCTCTCACCCTCTTCCCTTTTTGGAGAGAGAGAGAAAGGGTTAATACCCTCATATCTTATCCACTTCCCAATTTCTATGTGCCCCTCCCCTTCTCCATGACCTCTCCATGCCTTATGTTTTTAATGTTGAAACATTGTTTCAATATTTTTCTTGTCGTCCATTTGTTTTTTCTTTCTAAACTTTATTTTTCCAACTCTACAACATATCCTTAAAAAAAATATCCTGAATTTAGCTCTAAGGCAAAAATCTCTCATCAAACAGCAAGGTTTGTGACTTTGACTTACCTTTAACGAAGGAGAACACAAACGACAAGCAGCAGCTGATGAAGAGGAGGGTGATGATGATGAAGAAGAAGAACAACTACATTGAAGGTTATCAGTTGGGGTCAATTGAAAAAGTTCGGTTTTTTTTGTTTCTTTTCTTTGGTTGTTTTTTTTTTTTTTTTTTTTTTTTGTTTTTGCTTCTTGCTCCAACCATACTCGTTAGCAATGGCCGCAAAAAGGCCGAGAGAACTTTGTTGCTACTGTGAAACGAAAGAAACTTACCTTGATCTGATTTCCGCATTGGCCAGTTCATTGCGTGGATAGGGCTTTGAGGCGGCCACTGCTGTTTCCAATGCTGTGGTATCATCCAATTCGCCCTCAAGCGTTACAAATATAATGGAACCCATGGCCGTGTATAAAAGTACCAATATCAGAACACCTTAAAGGAAAAGAAGAAGAAGAAGACCACGAACAAGACAAAAGAGAATTGTGAAAAATTATGAGAATGGCATCCGGTTTTCTGGGGGAGGGGGGGTCACATTCACATCCTCTGTTGCTTTTTTCTTTTGTCGATTTTTATGAATCATTAATCACAAATCACCGAAAAGCCAAAAAAGGATGTGAAAGAGTGGGGGGGGGTGAAATGGGACACCTACCTGTGGCGGATATGCAATGTGACTTGGGCGCTTTGTGACAGCCGCAAAGTCCCGAATTGGCCGCATTTGCCTGATGATGGTGGTCACGTTGTTTTTCGCCCTTCGTCGCCGGCGTTGAAAAGCACATTGAATTTGTGGCCGTCGCTGTGGCGTTGTTGGCCGCAATTGAGGCGGCATTTGTTTGTGGTCCGCCAATGAATGCCGTTATGGGCAATGGCGGTTTTTTGTTCATAATCGCTGCAGCAAAAAAATAACAATAAACCTCAAATCAATTGTTATGGTCTCCACACAGCAGCTGCAGCCAGCAGTGCTGTAATAAAATTGTCCTTAAGAAACCAAGCAGGGCTCCTCGCTCTCGCTCTCACACACACACGCACACACACTGAATCGATTGTTATATTTCACATTTATTTACACACAAATCATGGTGATTTGGCAAGTCTGATTATGGCAAGCGATAATGATGATGCTGCCGCTGCTGATGGCCAATGCAATCCACCAGTACCCAGTTATGGCCTCCAAACGAACGTGTGTGTAATTTTGATGGTGTCTGGAAAGAAAAAAAATAATAATCACAAAATAAGAAGAAGCAGAGAAATATGAAATTAGAAACTGGATCAGTTTTTGTTCGTTCTTTTTTCTTCAATTCGAAATATGAATTTTCTTTTTATGGCTTAAAGCAAAGTTTAATGTATTGGGCGCCACCACATAGAGGAAACAATGAAAGGAATGGACAGGCTGGATGATATTTATTAAAATGGGTCAGGGCATGTGTTAGGAAAAAGAGGTTATTTTCAATGTTTCAAACATAAATTGTGGATAAGGTTAGGGTGAAAAAAGTTGGATGGAAATGGGACTCATTAGAGTTGAAAAAATGGAAATCTAAATAATAAAATTTAATTTTTTTATGAAATTTAATACTCCTGGATTCTGTTATAACCTGGAGCAAGCGTTCGTAAAAGTTCAGAATCATTCGTTATATTTTAAAGAACTGCTATGGATAAATGATGAACCATAAAATCCAAAAAAAAAACTCTTTTTGGAAACTATTCCTCAATAAATCCAGTTTTTTTGTAAGAAGGTCTGTCCCTTGGAAAATATCCTTTAAAGATCCACAATTATTTTTCTGCGGACCATTTCAAATAATCCATAAAAATCTCGTTTATTTATCTACAGATCTTTTTGGAAATAATCCTTAAAAATTCTTATTTATTTGACTGCATGTTCTGTGGAAAATATCCTTAAAAAAATACGTGTTTATTCGTCTACAGCCCCTTGGAAAAAATCTTAATAATCTATGATAATTTATCTGCACTTCCTTTGGAAAAATCCTTCAAAAATCCGCATTTATTTGCCCACAGATCCTTTTAAAAATAATCCTTATAATTATTATTTATTCACGATTTTTGGTTTGCTGATCCTTTTGAAAATATCCTTCAAAATTGCATTGGAAAATTTCGTTTTTAAATCCTAGTTAGCAGGTCTAATGCAAAAATCCTTCAAAAAATCCAAATTTATGTGACAATAGATCCATTTGAAAGTAATCCTAGAAAATCGTCATTATTTGACTACAGATCTCTTGAAAATAATCCTTAAAAATCCTAACTTATTTGACTGCAGGTGCTTTGGAAAATATTCTTAAAAAATACGATTTTATTCGTCTACAGCCCCCTTGGTAAATATCCTTTAAAAATCCATGATAGTTTGTCTGCAGGTCCTTTAGAAACAATGCTTCAAAAATCGGCATTAATTTGCCTGCAGATCCTTTTAAAAATAATCTAAAAAATTCTTATTTATTTCTCTGCAGACTCTTTGTGAAAAATCTTTCAATATCCACGATTTTTGGTTTGCTGATTCTTTTGAAAATATCCCTCAAAATTGCATTGGAAAATTTCCTTTTAAAATCCACGATTATTGATTAGCAGGTCTTATGCAAAAATCCTCCAAAAAATCCGAATTTATTTGTTAATAGATCCATTTGAAAATAATCCTAGAAAATCCTCATTATTTGACTGCAGGTGCTTTGGAAAATAATCCTTAAAAAATCTAATTTATTGGACTACAGGTGCCTTGGAAAATATCCTTAAAAAAATCCATGATAATACGTCTGCATGTCCTTTGGAAAAAAATCCTCGAAAATCAAGGTCCGTTACACAAAGTTTTGATAAATTTTGTTATTAGATTCTAGAACTTCCTCTTCTAGAACACCCTCTTCCCTTTCTCTCTCTCTCTCTCTCTCTTTCATCATCTTACTTTCTTTCTCTCACTCTCCTTTTCTCTCACTCTTTCTATTTTTCATTCTCCTTTTCTCTCACTCTTTCTTTCTCTCACTCTCTCTTTCTCCCACTCTCTCTCTCTCTCTAGAACTTACTCACAATTTACTTTCTCTCTTTCTTTTCTCACTCTCTCTTTCTCTCGCTATCTCTTTCTCCCACTCTCTCTCTCTCCCACTCTATCTCTCTCTTTCTCTCCCCCTCTCTTTCTCTCTCCCCCCTCTCTTTTCTCTCTCCCCCCTCTCTTTTCTCTCTCCCCCCTCTCTGTCTTTCTTTCCCACACTCTGTCATTCTTTCCCACTCTCTGTCTTTCTTTCTTCCCCCTTTCCCTTTCCTTCTCCCCCTCTCTCACTCCTTCTCCCCTATCCCCCTCCATCTCACCCTCTCTCTCTTTCTTCCCCCTCCATAGTTTTCTTCCCCCTCCATAGCTTTCTTCCTCCTCCATAGCTTTCTTCACCCTCCATAGCTTTCTTTCCCCTCCCTAGCTTCCTTCCCCCTCCCTAGCTTTCTTTCTTCCCACGCTTTAGCTTTCTTCCCTTCTCTCTCTCTCGTTTTCCCCCTCTTTCTCTTTTCCCCCTTACAATCTATTTCCCCCTCTCAATCTTTTTTTTATCCTCTCTATCACAAACTATATTTCTCTTCCCCCATTTCTCTTTTTTCTCCCCTCTCTCTTTCTGTTCCTTTTCCCACTTCGTATTATCACTCCATTGTCAGTTAACTCAAAGGCGATATTTGACCTTAATCACAATTTCTATGAATCATCCACACACAAACATTCTTTTGTCCACCCGAAAATATCCTCACACCCATTTAAAGGAAGGGAGAGAGAGGGGACAAAGAAGAGAGTGTAAAAAACATTGTTTCAACTGCTTGAATTTGCCATTAAGAAATTTTCACACGTCCATTTGACAGATGCTTTTAACAGCTTGCCAGCCAGCCTGTCATTTATGTCATGACATTTGTAGGTGTGCAACATTACCGGCACGACTAAAGGTTTCCACGAAAAAGAATTTTCAATAAATATTATTGAAAAAACAGGGATTTCTAGGAAACAACAAATTCCCTTGAGTTTTAAAGAAAATATTTTCATTTTCAATTTTATTTCCACTGCACCCCAAAATAATAGTAACAATTCACCTCCCAACAAAAAATTGGACATGTGTTTACCATGTCCTTAGGTTGTGTCAATAAAATCGTCAGGTATCACAAACACAACAAACAGCCGTGACTGTTTCAAATCCCAGCACTTGCAGCAAACGGACCCCTCTACTCCCTTCACTGCCTCCCTGCCTCTACACAAAAATCCGAAAACCCCAAATAGAAACAATGAATCAACCGGAAAAATCAAACAACCAACTAACCAGTCAACCTCGCCAAAGCCAAACACCTCTATCCTTGACAGTTACATGACACACATAACAGTGCAGCAGGATGTGAGGACAGGTGGCGCGAGAGGAGTAGGAGGAGTCGTGGGGAGGAACATTAGTTGGATTTACATTAGCAGTAAAGCTGACCAAATTGAGTGAAACTGTTGACACAATGGAAATGGAAATATATGTGTGTGTGTGATGTCTATATGTGTGTGTGACATGTAGCTGCTGGTAATCCATGAAAGCGCAAATCTATGTCACAGCACACAAAAATTCAATAAATTTTAGGCGATTTTTGATGGCTTTTGTTGTTACTTCCTATTATTTCGTCAATTGTATTGGCATTTTGGCAAAAATGAGATTGAATGCGAAAAAAGGTAATTTAATAACTTTGATGTGAGGAGATATTTTCAGAGGAAAGAGAGAGAGGAGTAGAAAGAAAGAGAGAGAAAATGTCCAATACGGGTCTGCAGGTTTTTTTTTTTAATTTCTTTGGAAAACATTTGAAGAACCATCACGACTTTTGACCTGAAAGTCATTTACGCAATAATTGGCATACAGGTCCTTTGGGAAATAGATGTTAAAAATCCATGACTTATTTAGAATTTCTTTGGAAATTATTTGGAAAAACAACACCTGAATTTTTTTTACCTGATTTTTTTTTTTTTTTTTTTGGAAAATCCCCTTCCTTAAAAATCTAGGATATTTTGATGCACACGTCAATGGAGCATAATCGTAATAAGTCCAGATATATTGATGTATAGGTCCTTTGAAAACATCCTGGAAGTTCTGCATAAGACGTTCCTCAAAATCTTTATATATTTGGTTGCAGGTCCCTTGTGATCCCTTGGAAAAACTCCATCAAAAATTAATGTTGATATGGGAACAACCTTTAAGCAAAAACCTACAAAAGTCGATGTTTATTCCACATGTTAATGGGAAAAAATCCTCGTTGATTTAATTAAAAATCCTTTTCAAAATATCTTCTAAAATCCTTTTAAATCTCCACGTTTAGTTTTCTGTAAGTCCCTTGGAAATAAACCATTTTTATTTGTCGTCAGGGTCTTTGGAAAACAACATTTAAATGTCGTTTTTATTCAGCAGTTCCTTTCGAAAAAAATCCTCTAAAAATACACGCTTATTTGTCTGTAGGTCCTTTGAAAAATCTTTAAAAATTCACTTTTTTTGGTTTGAAAATCCTTTGGAAAATATTTTTTAATAATCCCCATTTATTCGTTTCCATGTCCTTCGGAAAATATCCGTAAAAAATTCAAGTTTATTTGCCTGCAGGTCTTTTGGAAAATATTACTTAGATATCCATCGCTATCTGACCACAGGTCCTTTCATTAACGTACCTTTAAAATCCATGCTTATCCTTGGGAAAAATCCTTCAAAAATCCACGGTTATTTGTCTGCAGCTTGCAATATTTCTTGAGCATCCATGTTTATTTGATCGAAGTTCCTTCGGAAAATATCCTTCAAAAATCCAAGTTTATTTATCTGCAGACTCTTTGAAAAAAACCCTTCAGGATACATAATTCTTGCATCTTTTGACAATAATCCATAAAAATCCTCTAAAGATCGCTTCGAAAAAATCCTTCAAAATCCACATTTTTTGTCTCCTTTCATAAACTTTCGTTAAAAATCCATTTGTATGTGTCCGCAGATCTTTGGAAAAAATTCCTTCAAAAATCTACGATTATTTGTCTGCAGTCTGTAATATTTCTTGAGCATCCATGTTTATTTGACCACAGAACCTCCAGAAAATATCCTTCAAAAATTCACGTTTATTTACCGGCGGTTTCTTTGGAAACCCCTCTTCAAGGATACATGTTATTTGTCTACAGATCCTTTTAAAAAAATCTTTCAAAAATTCTCATTTATTTGCCAACATATCCTTTTGAAAA